CCCTCCCTCCCTCCCCTTCTCTCCTCTCTCTCTCTCTCTCTGACTGGGAGGATAGAGAGAGTGAGAGAGAGAGTGAGAGTGAGAGTGAGAGTGAGAACCGTTTAGACCCCACATTGCACAGTAGCTTGGAGCTGTGTGTGAGTGTGTGTAATATACTGTACGCATCACATACTATGCTATGAGTTCCATTCGAAAACGGCCTGAACGGCCATCCACGAGATATTTACCACAAAGCATTCCACTTTGTGATCGTGAAAAACAATCTATGACATTCTCATCCAACCCATCCCTGACAACTCCAAAAAGGCATCCTCAACAGTCGAGCACCACACCCAAGCACACATGCAGTGCACAAGACGGAAAAAACAAGAAGCAACAGCAAGGCAAAAGAAGTGAGAGAGAACATATCGGATGGAGGGCACGGGGGAGGCGGGAGGGCACAACACCCGGGCAGATATGCAGCACACAAGACAGGCAAAAGACAACAAGCAACAAGCAAAAAAAAAAACACAAAGTACCAAAAGCCAAAACCGAAAACAATAAAAGCTGATGATGATAGATTGTTTCATCGAAGTTGCGCCGACTCATCAGGAGGCTGAACCCTCGACAATCTGTGGAATCCCCGTATTGATGGTTTGGGTCATGCACCCTTTGACCCTTGTTGAAGGCAGACTGTCCCCAAACGGAACACCGTAGCGGGCAGCAACCCAGCGAAGCACCAGGCATTGCAGGCAACACTGCAGAGGCAAAACGGCTGCTCAACGCCGAAGACGACTGCAAGGAACTACAGTGCAAGCGGACCAGCAGCTCAGCAACCGTGCAGTGAAGCGCAAGGCACCACCAACAAGGCAACCAAACCACAAGGCACGCAAGCAAAGGACGCGGAAGGCCGACAGGGCAAGCGGACAAGCAGCTCGGCAACCGTGCAGTGAAGCGCACGGCACCACCAACAAGGCAACCAAACCACAAGGCACGCACGCAAAGGACACTGAAGACCGACAGGGCAGGCGAACGAGCAGATCGGCAACCGTGTGGTCAAGCACAGGGCAACACCAACAAGGCAACCAACCGCAAGGCGCGCAAGCAAAAGACATGGAAGGCATGGCCTGCGGATAGGCAGCAAGGCAGCAGAGCAGTGAGGACGACAAGCGAAGCAAGCGGCACGGGCAGCAAGGCAGTGGCAGAACGCAGACAACATCCAACACAAAGCAAAGTGGCACATCACCTACTCATTCAAGAGCGCACCCGACAGACTGTTGGTTCCCACCATCCACTGAGCCAGGGAATCACTCAGATGAGCATCTGTCATCACCTGCAGGATACACAGACATCCCGAACTGAGCGCCCCCCCTAAGAGTGCTGTAGGCACTCCAAACAAGGAATGACCGACCGTTTGGCACTACTTAAGGGTGCTCACTTCGACAGGCAAAAGTACTTAGAAAAAATAAAACGAAGGAAGACACAGAGAACACAGAGAAAAACATACACAAACTGATTGTGTGTGTGTGTGTGTGTGTGTGTGTGTGTGTGTGTGTGTGTGTGTGTGTGTGTGTGTGTG